GTTCTTACATTAAATTGTTACTTACAAATGCTGAGTGCACAGATAATCCAACTCACTTGCACTTCACTTTGGATAATGGTTTTGACTGTTATGTGGACATTTATCTAAAATATGTATATATATATTTTTTCTTTGTTTTTTTTTGCGATACGGGGGCCTCTCACTGTTGTGGCCTCTCCCACTGCGGAGCACAGGCTCCGGACGCGCAGGCTCAGTGGCCATGGCTCACGGCCCAGCCGCTCCGCGGCACGTGAGATCCTCCTGGACCGGGGCACGAACCCGCGTCCCCTGCATCGGCAGGCGGACTCAACCACTGCGCCACCAGGGAAGCCCTGAATTCATATTTATTTAAAGATAAAAATCTCAGGGAATAAAAATGCCTGTAATAAAATTACATATTCCCTTTAAATCTGTTTCAAACTCTCATTAGCAAGGAAAAAACAAAAAAACACCTGGAGTCAAAGTATAATGACTAAATATATCAGTATTAACTGAGGGAAGAATCACCACTTCACATCTTTAAAACACAGAATTAACATCAAAGATGCACTCTGAGCTCAAGAATGTAGATTTGATTTTATGGTATTCATTATTATTCCTACCTAGTGTAAAGTAATATGGTAGCCAGGTATATGAGAGACGATACAGTCAGGGATGAAGTTAGTATTAGTTAAAAGGCTCCAGAGAAAGAAAAGCAAACAGCTAAAAAAGCAAATCAGAAAGTGGGGTTTTAACTGAGCAAGGGACTAGATCAGAAAAATAAGTTTCTTTACAAATGGAGCTAAAGAACCATCAGCAAGTAGATGCAAATAAAAAGGAAACTAAAAGCAAACAAGAAATATCTGGACTACACATAGAAAGGAAAACTAAAATCAAAATGAAGAAAGAAAAAGTACAGAAAAAGCAAGCAGCTCGACCACCACCAGAGTGGTGGTGACTCTCCAGAGTCAGCGCCTTTAAGAATAGCTTCAAGGCCAGGATCACATCTTAGCATTACTTCCAGGAATACCACACAACTGCTGACACATAGCAGATGCCCAATGTTTGCTGAATGAATGAGCAACAAAATGTTCTTGGGATTATTTCACCTGTAAAAGAATTTACCAGGCGTGATTCACTGTAAATGTATGAAAGCATTTACAGAAGTTTCCTAGAGTACTTAAAATGACCTCCTTCCTGGATTTGGGGATACATGATAGATTAACCAGATCAGAATCACTAAAAGAGAACCTGGGATACTTATCCATAAGGAGATGAGGTGCCACATCCTATTTAGTCACAGTCACCAAAATTTTAAAGATAAAGCAAAATACAGTGCAAACAATACTGCTTTCTAAGAGCTAACATTTGAAATGAAATCCACTACAGAAGAGTGGTTGGTAATAGAATCATCTTGACTACACATACACTATGAAAACTTACCTACAAAATTAAAAACGTTAATAGTTTAAGTAATTCTGTCCAGGAACTTGTAACGCTAAATAACCGAACCCATCTGCTGTTACTTACAAACCAATATACAGGTTATCTGTGTAAGTAGCACAGAACTATACTATATTTAATGGAGAACTATATTCCCCTCCCATTCAATAACCATCCAAATGTTCCATCTCAATGCAATCTTCTGATCATTATTAATTTCCTCAACCCAGTAATTATATACAGAGGAGACCGATGTTTCTCAATATCTCATCATACTGAGTATAGCTGACTTCTACCCTAGGAGGCAAAGAAGAGAACCAGAAGATGCAGGATTTTTTTTTTTGAAGTAAAAGCAAAATATTGAGAAGCTAGTTGAAAATCAGACAGAAAGCCACGTGAGACTACCGAGTTTCCTTAGAAGTTTATAAAGGCACAATCAATAGGGTATATTTATTTCGAACACGTTATCTATTAAGCAATTTAAGATCTTATAACAGGGAAAAATAGAGATTAATTGCCTCAGGGAAACTGGTTTATCCCTCAATGCATTCTTTAGACATGAAATCTGATTATTTTGGTAAATTTGGCCACATTAAGTCTGAAAACAGTTAAGAGTTTAACTTTTTTTCTTGGCCTTCCACCTACCACAAAGAACTTGAGGCAAAGGAACAGCTGAAGTTACCCTTATACCATTGAGGCTTTTAACAAGGTGAATACGTGAAGAAATATACAAGTTACATTAATAAGATCCTAGGGAACAGGAAAAATCTCATTTAAATGTTCACAGCAAAAAGTTAAGAAAAATTTTCTGAATCACAAATGATTTTTTTAACCTGTGAACTGTCTCAAAATACCTACTAAATTTTTAAATTCGCACTTCACCATTAGGAGACACGGCTGAACTCCTTAAAAAAAAAAAATTCAAGCAGAAACAAGGATCTCAAAATAAACCAAGCCAAATAAACTGAAATCTTTACTTGAAGAGGTGAAGGTTCCTTTCTGGGAAAAACGTCCTGCATTTTTCCCTCACCATTAATAAAGTACTGGTAGGCTACATTCATAAATGCATTCTCTATCAGCTACTGGACTCCAGTTTTGGATCCTCAGGTCAGCATCTGTTATCTCTACATCACTTGTTTGGGAATCACATAAATAAAAATAAAACATTCTGATGACATAACCATACAGTAACGTCTGCAAGCTGGAAACATGACTGACACCTTTTGTTTTATACAGAATTATCATGAAAAACCAACATGTGAAAGTTTCAACCAAAAAGCTACTCACCACCATCCCTCTCTCTAACTCTGTGAATATGCACATTTTTGGCCTTACTGTGACCTGTGCTGTCACTATATTTGTTTTCAGGACTATCAGATCTCCGCAACATTTTATTTGGTGGTGAAGGATCTGCGGCGTCTCGCATTTTTTCATGTCTGTGATCACCGCTACTGGGGTGACTCTTCGATGAATACTTAAGTGCCTGTAAAACATCACCCCCCCCAAAAATAAGAGAATTAAAACATTGAACTCAACTTTCTGGGTTAGTTCTACTGTAAAACTTGGCATATTAACTTCATTCAGTTTTATGAATTTGTATCAAGAAAACTAAAATTTCCTTTTCCAAGTCTGTCTTTAAGTTATTCAAACAAGACCTAAATGACTAAGAGTTACTGTAAGGCTCCTCATACAAATCAAAATACCACATTCAAAAAAAAAAAGATCCACTCCACTAATTATCTTGTAAATACAAGAAATCAGACACTTTGGTAAATTAACTCCTCAATAAATTTTTCTGGGAATTAGAAAGTTTAATCTAAAGGAGAGTACTACCGTCATCCCGTTTTTGCTCTGCAACTGCTACGCTAGACACAAGATATCAGCAAGCATGCAGAGGTTTCTGCAATCCAACAACACAAAAGCGTCACTTTCTCCAATGCTTGGACTCACCCATGTAAAGCATTTGGGACCTGACTTCACTGCTCTTGCAGGTGCGGGAAATAATTTTAAGAGGCAGAAAGAAACGCTGGCTGATACTTCTGACCTATCACGGCGGAACTTAATGGAACTCCCTCGCAATAACGTATCTGAGACAACCACGACATGGCAGTCTTTCAAACCGCATCATCAATTATGCTTTGGAGGGCCCGGCTCAACAGGGTTTGACCTCTGACTTATGCAAACTAATGAACACTGTTTTGCACATCAGGGGGCCTAGGGTTTTTAACTTGGGCTTTTAACAAATCATGCTAGCCAGTAACACTACCGTCAGCTTAGAAACCTGCTCTCCTACCCGGTAAGGGATCAGACGCAGAAAGTATTTCCTTCTAGTGTCATCTGAGCGCTGCCAACCATGTCTGAGACCCGCCCCACCGCCGGAACCAGGGGCCACTTCTACCAGGACTTTTTTTTTTTTTTTAAATTACAGGTTTACGTGCAGCCGCCGCAGGCACACACTAGAAGCACCTTCCTTACTTAGAGCGGCTGCCCCAGCACCCAAAGACCTCAACTCCGGCAGGAACAAAAGCGCCATCTTCCACTAGCAATGCACTTAGCCGCCCCGAAAACAAACTGCGAAGGGAGAGCGCTCCACCGCGCGCCCAGGAGTCGCAAACCCGTCGGCAGCCTCGCCCCAGCCTCGCGTCTACTCTGGACACCTTTCCGGCAACTTCTCGTCGCCCCGCTACAAAGGAGCGTGGCTCCAGAGGCCCCCGCGCCTCGCCCCACCGAGTCCCTCCCGCCCAGAGGCCCGAGTCCGGCCCCGCCCGGCCGAGATGGGCTCCGCTCGCCACGCGGAGCTGCGCTTCCTCCAGTCACCTGTCAAGATGAGCGCCCACACCTCGACGGCGAGCGCCGCGGGGGCCGAGCGCAGGCTGCGGGCGCCGCGGAGCCGTGGCCCCGAAGGGCCTGCAGCGGCTCGCGAAGCCTGCGCTCGAGTAGCGGCTCCTCCCTCCCCGCCGGCCCCGCCGCCCCGCCGGCCCCGCCGGCCCCTCCGGCCCGCGCCCGGCCCGCGGGTACCTGGTAAGGCTGCGCGTCCCCCCGCCGGTCGTGACAGCTGGAAAACAGGAAGAGAAGCGGCCTGAGGCCGGGGGCCCCGGCGCCCCCCCCCGCGGAGCCCCCGGAGCCCGCCCGCGCGCACACGCACACTCGCGCCCGCCGCCGCCCGCCGCCCGCGCGGCCGCTCCCCCTCCCGGCTGCTCCGGATCAGGGTTAACAACAAAAATGGCGGCGAGGCCGGCCCAGATAAGGAGCAGCCGCCCCCCCGCCGCCCGCCCCGCTGCCCCGAAACGAAAAGACGATTTACCCATCACTGAGTCTCTGCTGTTTCCTCGCATACATTACCATCAATGCCCGGCCTGTGAGCGTGTGTCGGGGACGGGGAGCGGCCGCGGACCGGGCGGCGGGCGGGCGCGCAGGCGGCGGGCGGCGCAGGGCCCGGCGCGCCCTCGGCGACGCTCAGCACCTCCCCGTCACTGGCGCCGGCGCTCCCGGGCCATCCCCTCCGTCCGCACCACGCTCACGCTCAGCTCGGATCGGCTCAGGCCGGGCAGCGGCGAACCGGTGGAGGGGGCACCAAGATGCGTCCGGCTCGGCCCCGCGCGCAGCGACTGCCTCCTCCGCCTTTGCCTCCTCCCGCTCCGCCGCCGCTACCCCTCCTCCCCCCGCCGCCGCCGCCGCCGGGTCCTCCTCCTCCGCCGCCGCCTCCTCCTCCTGCCGCCGCCGCCGCTGGTGCCGCCGCTGCCGCTCCACCAACTACATCCGGGCAACTCGGCCGCTGCGGCCTTCGGAAACCCTCGGCACTTTCCGCCGCGCTCCTCCTCTCCCACCCTCGCGCGCTCCGGAACGCCGCCTTCGGCAAACCTCGGCTCGCCGCGGCCCTCCTCTTCCTCCGCGGCCTGGCTCGCCTCCTCGCGACCCGTCCGCTCTTTCCGGTCGCCGCTGCGGGCTCGCACACGCGCGTCCGGCCGCCGCCCTTCCACTTTAGGGGTAGTCCGGCTCGGGGAGCCGCCCGAGGCTGGTCCCGGGGGCCCCGGGGCGCGCGGGGCGGGCGGCGCCTTCGGGAGGAGGCCGGTGGGGCGCGCGAGGAGCCATCGCGGACTTAATAAGGGCGGCTGCGCTGCTGCGCGTGCGCCCGGCGGCGCGGGGCGGGGAGGCGTCCCGCAGGAGCGCGCGGGCCGCCGCCCCCGCCCCTGCGGGCTCCGACCGGGAAGCCCCTGGTTGGGCGGCGGGCGGACGCTGGCCCAGGCGCCCGCTCCGCGCGCGGGGACGCGAGCTGCCCCGGAAGCCCGCGCGGCGGCCTGGGGTGGGCAGGGCGCGCCCCTGGGCCGTCGGCGTCTTAGAAGTAAGTCACCGCCGGAAGCGCGGGGCGAGGGCGGCGTGCGTTCCGGGTCACTGCGCGGAGCGCCCGGAGCCCGTGGGCCTGCGCCCCCCGGGTGGGGGCGGGGGTCCGTGGGGGAAGAGCGAGCGCCGCCTGGGCCGCTGATTGGAAACGCGCGATGCGCCTGCACGCGTGGGGGAGGGGGGGACCTTGGAAAAAGTGTTGTTTACTGTTTTCCACCCCTAGCCGCGCCCTCCCCTCCGTCTCCTTTCTTCGTTTCCCATTTTTCTCTCTTCTGGTTCCTCTTTGCTCACGTGCGGTCGTTTGGAGGTTCTGCATGTGAATGGAGGCCTGGGGAGTGCTAAGGAAATTGCTGTCAAGGGAATTTGTTAGCGCGCTCCAGGCACAGTAGCGGCGTTGGCACGTTGGGAGGGAGAAAATCAACTCTGTCACCCCAGCTAGGCTTTCCTGGACGGCGGTGGTATCCAGGTGGTTTTATTTCTCCTTCTGTTCTAAACATCTTGTAAGGCAACACTGAATGAAGTGTAATAAACATACACTAAACATACAACAGATTACATGGAAGAAAGAGGTGAGGTACGAAACAAATCAGAAGAAACAAGGTCCTTCCGAAGAACTGATTTAATTGGTATCCAACCAGTTAATTATGGCTGACCTAATGAAGAGGTGGAATGATGCGGGGAAGAAGGCCCAGAAATCACAGCTGATGGAAAAAGAAAAAAAAAATAATTACGTAGCCTTATTTGTCACATCTACCTGCCAAAAGCCAAGATTATTGCTGTTTGGGAGGACTAGTAAAGTCCACTTAAGGCCCACCGAAGGTGTCAGTAACTAAGAACAAAACTGCCAGTGACTGAAATGAGGAAAAAAAGAAAAGAAAAACCGGAGTCTTTTAAGTGTGGTTTCTAAACACTTTTGTGACAACTGCTCTGAAGACGAAAGACGTCAGATTGGAAGAGTACAGAAAGTAATACATAAATCTCATGCAGAAACTTTTTGAAAGCTGGCAGCAAAATTTATTACTAACTTCTTGTTTGATGATTAGACGTCTGCTGAACTTGTTATATACCGTTTGATCAAAAGCAGCAAACCGGGCTGAGACACGCAGCAAACAGCTCTAGGCAGTGTACAGTCGGTTCTCGTTATTCGCACATTCCATGTCTGCGAATTCACCTGCTCACTGCAATGTATTTGTAATCCCCGAATCAGTATCCAAGGGTTCGTGGACGTGCACAGTGAAAAATGTGAGTTGCCTGACAGGCACTACTGAGGTTAAAGGAGACGACACTCAGCCTTGTTACATCAGCTCTTGCGCTGTAAACAGATGTGCTTTTCACGGTACGTACAGTGTCATGTTTTTAGCAAATTTTTTGTGCTTTTTACTGGTGGCTTTCGTGTTTTAAGTGCCTCCACACCCCCACCCCAGGCGTAGTGGTGAGCTGCTATCTAGTATTCCTAAGCAGAAGAAGGCTGTGTTCTTTGTGGAGAAAACGTGTGTCCTGCATCCTGTTCGTTTAGGGTTATCATTAGTGCTCTTGGCCGTGATGAGGTCAGTGCTGGTAAATCAACAGTACATTAAATAAGATGTCTAAACAGGAACTCACATAAACAAAGTTAGGTACCGGTCAGTTGACGAAATGTGACCGCAGGATCTTAGGAACCTAACCCTTTGCTCCTCCAGGAGAAGTTTAGCATTCCCGGTGACTTTATAGAACACAGCTCTCTCAGATAATGAGAATCGACTGTTACTAAAGGACACGTCCAAATGTTACCCGCATTTTTAAAAATCTCATCTCGTCGCCTACTTTAGATTCCATTATCTGTTGTTGTGAGTCCTCCTTTGGAAATACCTTCCATCCTTGCCTTCTCCCTCCACTTTACATATCTAACCCACAGCCCTGCTCAATTCCCTGCATGCGTGAGGAAAACATAACACCTTACTAACTCTGAAAAGAGCTCCCTGGGTTCCTCACCCCCCTCCCACTAACTTCCCTGATCTGTCTACCCTGCCCTCTTCAACAGCTGTTTCACCTCTTCTAAACCTGACGGTACATCCCCAGTCCTTGCTGTGTTGCTTCTTGAGATGATAGATGGAATCAGAAATCTGTAACAGCTTTGGCCCACGCCCACCTTGCATCTACCAGCCTTCCTCCATCTGAATACACTGCTAGCCTCCATAACTGGATGGATGGTCCAAATTCCTGTCCAAGACCCAAACTGCCACTTTTGCATTGAGTTCCATTTTACTCTTGGAATTGTCCTCTTTCCTTAGCAGATTTTCCCCGCTCAACTTGATTGTTTTTGTCAACTTGTAAAGATTTTAATAGCTAAAATCTTGATCATATCTCCCTGCAAATACTACCCCATTGCTCTGACCTGGTCTCCTATACAGAAGGACTTCATTTGCGCATCTGCTACTCTCTCTCGAACCCACAAGTCAGACTTGACCCCCAGACTCCACTGAAACTAAGGCTCCGGATCCTGGGAGCCTCCACGCTCTCAAATCCCACTTTCGTTTCTCAGTCTTCACGTCACTCCACCTGTCAGCAGCATTTGACACAGCTGATGACTTACTCTCTTCCTCCTGAAGCCCCTTTGCTTGCCTGCCAGAATTCCATTCTGTATTTCTCTCTTGCTTCCTAAATGACTGTTACTTAGTCCCCTTGCTGGTTGCCCTCTTTTTCCAGCCTCTAAATGCTGGAGTAGCCCAGGATTCAGATCTCACAACTTGGACTGCTTCTCCTCTCTGTTCTTTCTCCCTCAGCAGCCCCATCCAGATCTCTGGCCAAATGAAACCCACGTTTGAATCTCCAGCCCACGCCTTTCCCCTAAACACTAGACTCGCACTTAACTGCCTACTTTACAGCACTGCTTGAATGTCTGATAGGTGTGGTAGACTTAATATAGTCTAAACCAGACTGTTAACCCCCCTCCCACCCCACCAAAGAACTGTGATTTAGTGTTCCCTATTTCATGAAATGGCAACTCCATTCTTCCAGACTAAAAACTTTGGAGTCATCCTTGATTCTTCCACACCTCACATCCACTCCATCAGCAAATCCCACCAGCGCTATCTTAAAAATATACCCAGAATCTGATCTCAGCTCACCACCTCCATCACAGCCACTCTGATCCAAGCCGCCGTCTTCTTACACCTGGACAATAGCAAAGGCCACCGGGCTGGTCTCCCAGTTCTACACTTGCTTCCACGTCATCTACTCACTCACGGCAGCTGTCAGTGTGATCCCTTTGAAAGTCAACAACATTCCTATCTTAAAGCCCACTGATGGCTTCCCATCTCACTCAGAACAAAAGCCGTGGTCTTCCATTCTTACCGTGGTCTGCAGGGCCCTGCGTAAACCGCTCCCGCCCACATTACCTCTGGTTTCACATCCAGTATGACATTTGTGCGTGCTCAGTCTTTTCCCACCACTCCATCCTCCACTTTCCTCCACTATACCGAGCATGTCTGTCTCAGGGCCTCTGCACTAGTATCCTCCTGCCTGAGTGCTCTTCTCCTTGGTACCCACTTGCTCACACTGTCACTTCTTCAGGTCTCTGCTCAAATCTCTCATCAGAAAGGGCTGAACTCTGAGAACTATGTAAGCAGCACCCCACCACCATCTCTCTCCCTTACCTTGCTCTGTTTTTCCTGTGCCTCTTGCCATGTAATATGTTGTGTATTTTGTTTATTGGTTGTCTCCCACTAGAATGAAGGTTCTGTGTGACATAATCAGATAAATATTTGGTGAGTGAAAGAATATTTACCTACAAAAATATATACAAAGAAAACAGCAAAATATTATAATTCTCATGAAGAAAAAGATAACATGGGTTTATTTCTGCTTGCTTTCTTAAAGAACAGAATTATAAATTGAGTCCTGCTGTCACAAATTAAATGGGAGTAAAGCTGGATTATTCCTAATACTCATAAAATATTGTAAAAGGTAACATTTGAAAATTTATATGAATTTGCATATGTAACAAATCTTATGCAGACCACTTGCGTTTCTGTTGAATGAGAGATCTCAAATTTGTGAATGAGAGATCTCAAGTTTGTGAATGAGCAGAGATCCATATTTCAGCCAATAAATGAACACATATCAACCATTATGGGGGAGATCTATCAGCCAAAAGGCCATGGGTGACCCTGACGTTAGTGTGGCCCTATTGGTGGAGGAAGAATCAGAAAGTCACGTCATCAGGCCTCTAGTTGTAAAAGAGACTTTAAAAGGTTTGCTCAAATTTCTAAAGGGTCACAAAATAAGGATACATCCTCTGAAATTTTTACCAAGCACTTTTCCTTTCTATCTTTTTTCTCTGTCCTTGCCCTTCTCTCAACTTGGCACAGTTTAGTGTTTAAGAGCATGGGTTTTGGAATCAGAGTGACATAATGTGGAGCTCTGGCTACATTATTGACGGACGAGCAGTGTAACCTTGGGCAAATTGCCAGAGTCCCAGAGGTTATGCTTCCTTATCCCTAAAATTGACTTGATAGGGTATAGGGCTGTTTGTAAAAAGTTAATGAACTTCCGTAAATAATTTAGCAGCACGTGGCACATACATAACTCCACTGCTGGTGGATATCATTCATTCATTCAAAAAAAGCGTTACTGAGTTTCTGTGTATCACGTCTTGGGAACATAGTATTAAGCAAATTCACTTGGTCTCTGCTCCTATGGAGTTTATGTTTTAACTAAGTGCAGTACATAACTAAGAGGAGACCCTTTGTGTTCTCAGGTTTGTGATGTGAGGCTTTCATTCAACTATGTTGAAAATTAGCAAAAACGCAACAAAAATTATGATTTAGAAAAGGGGAGTAAAAACTTCCAGGACAGCATCATATCAGTATATGGTATATCCTTCTAAGCTGGGGTAATAGTGTAAATAATGGAATCAGCAGGTCCTGGGATTCCCACCCTCCCCACACACCCCCAGGATCCTTGTTGATTCATGTATTCACAGTTGAGCTAAGTTCTGGATTTACAACTTGCCGGTTTTTTAAAGTTTCTCCCAGTGATAGATAACAAAGTGCAGCCAAGATTGAGAACTATACCTACACCCTTTGCCTCTGGGAAAACTTCAGCCTCGATTAACCCAACTGTTCACTTTCTCAGTACCTGAAAGCAGTTGCATGCTGCTGAAGGCTGTTGAGTGAACTTCTGAATAGACTGATTCCTCTAAAGTCTCATGATCACCAAATAGACGGACCCTCAGTACAGCCAGGCAGTCTTAGACATTTCTCTCTTCAACCCCCTCATCTACTCCAAAAAGTTCCTCTAACTTCCACTCTCCTCTCACTGTGCTGCCTCCCCTTCACTTTCAGAAGATAGCACCTCCTTCCTCCTAAACCGAAGCCCCCAAATGGAAATTTCTTCCTGCCTCAAAATAGCCAAATTTACCTACACGCAACTTATCCTTCCTTCTACTTACTCAACAATTTACTGAGAACCCACTAGTGCTGGGAATACATCAATGAACAATACAGACAAAAATCTCTACTCTCCTGGGGCTTATATTCGAGTGGGAAAAAACAAACATAAATAACTGATACGGTAATTTGGATAATAGTAAGTGCTATGGAGAAGAGTGGAGAATGATAGGGAGAACTAGATTAGGAATAATATTTTAAACAGAGTGGTCATTGAGGTGACATTTAAGCAAGACTTAAAGGTGATGAGAGAGAGGAGTGTTCCTGGAAAAGGGAACGGTGAGAGCAAATGTCCTGAGGCAGGAGTGTGTCTAGCGTGTTCGAGAGCAATAAGGAAAGCTGTGTAGGTAAAACGTATTGACGGAGGGGGAAAGTATGAGGAAATGAGGTCAAATAGTTTAAAGGAAGGGATGGGGGAGTAGGTGATGAAGGATCAAATAAGCCATTATAAGAAGGCTGGCTTTTATTCTGAGATAGACGAGAAGCCATTGGGGAGTTGAGCAGAGGAGTGACACTGGCTACTGTGTTGAGAATAGTCTTTATGACAAGGAAGTATGCAGAGAAACTAGTTAGGATGCTACTGCATTGTCCAAATGACACTGTTTCAAAACAGGAGTTAAGCCTCATCTCTAAGGCCACTTCCTTCACATATGCTTTCCAGCCTTCCACTTTAAGGAACTAGAACAAGAAGAGAAAAGTAAATCCAGTGATAGCAGAAGGAAGGAAACAATGAAGGTTAGAGGAGAGATAAATGATATAGACAATAGAAAATAGTATAATCAATGAAACCAGAAGTTGGTTCTTTGAAAAGATCAATAAAGTTAACAAACCTTTAAATAGAATGACCAAGAAAAAAAGATCCAAATTACTAAAATTAGGGGAAAATGGGGATATTATTACCAACCATATAGAAATAAAAAGAATTACAAGAAAATACTATTAACATTTGTATGCCAACCAATTTGATGACCTAGATGAAGTGTACAGATTCCCAGAAACAAAGTACCAAAACTGACTCAAGAAGAAATAGAATAGACTTAACGTTACAAGTAAGAATATTGATTGAGTAATCAAAAAACTTCCAACAAAGAAAAGCCCAGAATCATATGGCTTCACTGGTGACTTCTATCAAACATTTGAAAAAACACCACCAGTCCTCAAACTCTTACAAAAAATAGAGGAAGAGAGAACGTCTTCCTCTAGGCCAGCATTACCCTGATAACAAAGCCAGACGAAGACATCACAAGAAAATAAAACTACCAACATAGTCCCTAATGAATATAGATACAAAGTGTCCCTAATAAATATAAATACAAAAATCCTCAACAAAAGTAACCCAGCAGCATGTTTAAATGATTACATACCATGACTGACTGGAATCCACAAAATTATTAGTGCTAATAAATTTAGCAAAGTCACAAGGTACAGGATCAACAAAAACCAGTTTTCTTTCTATACACTTGCAATGAACATTCCAAAAAATAAGAACACAATTCCATTTACAATAGCATCGAATAAAATACTATGAAATAAGTTTAAATGAGACATAAACTACATTGAAAGCTACATAACATTGAAAACTATTTACAAAATACTAAAGAGCTAATTAATGGAAAGACATTCCCTGTTCATATTTTGGAAGACTTAATATTGTTTGGATGGCAAACTGATCTATAGATTCATTGCAGTCCCTATCAAAATTCCAACTATGTTTTTTTGCAGAAATTGACAAGTTGATCCTAAAATTTGTATAGAGTTACAAGGGACCCCAAAACAATCTTCAAAAAGAAGGAAGTTGGAGGACTCATACTTTCTGATTTCAAAGCTTACTACAAAGCTACAGTCATCAGCACAGTGTGGTATTGGCGGAAAGTTAGATTGATAAGTCAGTAAATAGAATTGAGAGCCCAGAACTAAACCCATACATGTGTGTTAAATTGATATTTGACAAAGATATCAAAACATCACTGGTGGAAGACTAGTATTTTCAGTAGATGCTGCTAAGAAAATTGTATATCCACGTGCAAATTAATTCGTTTGAACCCTTACCGCACACCATATAAAAACACTAACTCAAAATGTAAGCGGGCAACTATACAAGTCTTAATATATTGGGGGTAAATCTACATGACTTTGGATTTGGCAATGTTATTCTTAGATATGACATCAGAAGCACGAATAACAAAATGAAAAGTAGATAAATGGATTTCATCAAAATTTAAAACTTCTGTGCATCAAATGACACTATCAAGAAAAAGCCCACTGAGTGGGAGAAATATTTGCAAGTCATATACGTGATGAGAGTCTATTATCCTAAATATATAAATAACTCTCATAAATTCATCAATAAAAAACAACCCAACTTTAAAATGGTCAAAGCACTTGAATAGACATTTCTCCAAGGAAGATATTTTAATGGCCAACAGTACATGAAAAGATGCTCAATATCATGCCATTAAGGAAATATTAATACAAATCAAAACCACAATGAGGCCTTCCCTGGTGGCACAGTGGTTGAGAATCTGCCTGCTAATGCAGGGGACACAGGTTCGAGCCCTGGTCTGGGAAGATCCCACATGCCGCGGAGCAACTAGGCCCATGAGCCACAACTACTGAGCCTGCACGTCTGGAGTCTGTGCTCTGCAACAAGAGAGGCCGCGATAGTGAGAGGCCCGCGCACCGCAATGAAGAGTGGCCCCCACTTGCCACAACTAGAGAAAGCCCTCGCACAGAAACGAAGACCCAACACAGCCCTAAATAAATAAATAATTTAAAAAAAAACCACAATGAGATACCACATCACACCCACTAGAATGACTGTAATTAAAAATCAAACCAGTGTTGACAAGGATGTGGAGAAATTGGAACCCTCATAAATTGCTAGTGGGAAAGTAAAATGGTGCAGCCACTATGGAAAACTGTTTGGTGGTTCTTCAGAAGTTTAAACATAGGATTACTTTATGACTCAGCAGTTTCTCCTCGTAAATATATACTCCAGAGAAATGAAAACAGGTATTCAAACAAAAGCTTGTACCTGAATGTAGCCAAATAATGACCAAAAGTGGAAACATCCAAAGTGTCCACAACATATGAATGGATACATTGTGGTATATACACACAATGGAATATTATTCAGCCATAAGTAGGAGTGATGTACTGATACAGGGTACAACATGGATCAACCCTGAAAAACCTGCCAAGTGAAAGAAGCCAGACACACACAAAAAAACACATAAGATTCTGATTCCATTGGTGTGAAATGTCTAGAATAAGCAAATCCATGGAGATA